TTTAAATAAATTAATAAATAATAAATTAATTGAGGGTTTACCTGATAAGATTGAAAGTACTGAAATGAAGTGTTCAAATTGTATTAAAAGCAAAATGTATAATGTTCCATTTGAGAATAAAAGAACAAAGAGTAAAGAAATTTTAGAATTAATTCATACTGATTTAAACGGTCCACATTATACAATTGGTTATGGTGGAGAAAAATACTTCCTAACGTTTATCGATGATTATAGTAAATGTACAAGGATATTTTGCATTAAAAGTAAAGCTGAAGTTGCTGATTGTTTCATAGAATTTATAAATTTAGTAGAAAATAAATTCAATAAAAAAGTTAAGAAAGTTCAGTGTGATAATGGCAAAGAGTATTTAAATAAACACATTTATGATTTTATAAGGCAGAAGGGTATAGAATTATTACCATGTCCACCCTATGTACATGAATTAAATGGTGTAGCGGAAAGATATAATAGGTCTGTTATGGACATAGCTAGATGTTTGATGAGAGAAGCTAAGATTAATAGGTGGTATTGGCCTGAAGCTATAAAAGCTGCAGCATATTTAAAAAACCGAACAATTGCAAATACAGTTGAAAATAAAACTCCGTATGAGATATTCTTTGGAATAAAACCAAATGTAAGTCATTTAACCAAAATTTATGGAAGTAGAGTATTTGTTAGGGTTCCTGAAGTTTTAAGAAAAAGTAAATGGGATGATAAAGCACAGAAAGGAATTTTAGTGGGTTATAATGAAAATAGTTATCGGGTTTTATTAAATAATAGAATAATTAATGCCAGACATGTACAAGTAGTTGAAGAAAATACTGATCTGATTTGCTTAGAAAAACAAGATGATCAACAAGATAAAAATTTAGAGATTGACCAAAGCTCAAAAGAACAGTTAATGATAGTGATGAAGATTATGTAGATGCAGATGAACCTAGTTCTAACAATTCCTTAAAAAATGTTTTGTATAGTGGTAACTTAGATGATAATAAGGAGGATCTTGTAGAATCTAAAAAAAGAAAGAGAACTGCAGTTTCTAGATATGGTAATCCAGTTACACATATTATATATGTCAATCATATTGATGCAAATGTACCATATACATTTGAGGAGGCGATGAACTCCAATGATTATAAACAGTGGCAAATAGCAATGGACTCAGAAATAAATAGTTTAAATAAAAACAATACTTGGCAAATTGTTGAAAGGCCAGTAGATAAAAAAGTTATAGATGTTAAGTGGGTTTTTAGAAGGAAGAGTAATAATGAGTATAAAGCTAGATTAGTTGTGAGAGGATTTCAGCAAAATGAATACATTGATAATGCTTATTCACCAGTAGGAAAAATGCAAACTTTGAAAATTTTATTGTCATACTGTTGTAATAATAATTTATTTGTAGAACAGATGGATGTAGAAACAGCTTTTTTAAATGCTTATGTAAAGTCAGAAGTATATGTAAATCAACCAGTAGGTTATGAAACTGATAATAACAAAGTTTACAAATTGCAGAAGGCACTTTATGGTCTTAAAGAAAGTCCAAGAGTGTTGTATGATTGTTTCAATGAGTTTATTAAATCATTAAGTTTTTGGAAAACACGTAAACAGTGTACAGTAACTAAATGTTCAACCTTTGCAGAGTATACTGCTATGTCAGAGGCAGTGACAGAAGTACTTTTTATAAGGAACTTATTAAGTGAATCATTTGATATAATGTTTTGTAACCCAATAAAAATTTATGTTGATAACTCAGGTGCAATCGCAATAGCTTAATATGGTAATTTTACAAAAAACTCAAAGCACATTGAAGTGCAGTATCACTATATAAATGAGAACTATGAAAATAAAATAATTGATATTGTGAAAATTGATAGTACAAGTAACCTGGCAGACATGTTAACTAAAAGTTTAGATAAGAAAAAGTTTTTGAAAAACAGGTTACACTTAAAATTAATTTAGTAAAGTAAAAGATAAAATATTAGTTTGGTATAAGATTATATGGATAGCAATGTAAAAGTTTATAAGTTAAGTCATGATGAATGTTGTGTTATTTAAGCTTAAGATTATAAATTTAAAGAGGCGTGTTGAACATAAGTAAATTTTATAATCTATGTTAATTTGCAATATGTTGTTAATCTGTGTGTCAAAAAGTCGTATCATAGCTATGTCGGTTGAAGGTTGATAAAATATACGGAGGTCTTTAAAAAAGGGTTTTATTTCATCTAAGTATTTTAACAGTATCAAAATTGATACCTGTTTTTTTTTTAAATAAATATGTTAAATAAATATTGTGATTTATTTAGCTATTTTTCCCTTCATCTAGACCCTTAAGCAAATACAGTAATATTTAAAAAAGAAGACTCGCGTAAATCAGGCTACTAAGGGTTAATTCTTAAACAGGTTCATTTTTATTTTTGTTTTGTTATGTATAATGTGACCATCGTTGTTGAGTTTACAATAACTTATAATACTAATTAAGCTATAAGAAATGATAATTGTAAACTTGTTTGTGGTTGCTATTAAATATTACAAACATTTTAATACTCTAGGTATTGTTGAAATATGAATTACTTTTGTTTTGTTTGAAATTTTCTATATTTATGTCAAAATGTATTACTCTGGTCTATTGTGTCTGTGATGTGTTTTTGAATAAATAAGTCGTTCTTTGTCACTGAAACCGATTGAGTTTTATTTGAAAAATAATCAGATAATTGTTTGATAATGATAAAAAAAAATGATGCATAACACTCAAAACAACGACCACAAACACTAAACCAAGCAGGCAAGGTGACGCTGACATCACTAAAAATTTACAAATTACAAGATACAGAAAGAAAAACGCCCTAGTGACTCCAATAAAGATAAAAAAAGAACCAAACAAGAAAAAAGTTACCAGAGAAAGACAACTGAATGAAGATATTAAATATTAACATCACACAAATACAATACCATTTACAAATTACAAGATACAGAAAGAAAAACGCCCTAGTGACTCCAATAAAGATAAAAAAAGAACCAAACAATAAAAAAGTTATGCTAGCAAGACAAGTGAATGAACATATTAAATTTTCACTTCACTAAAGCAAATAACAAAAAGGGATCTAAAACACTTAATAAATATGGTTGATACTGTCATGAATGCAAGTTTTCAGGTGGTTCTTTCACAAACAAGGCCAGCAACCCACTTACAACACTTTATATTTCACATATCCATGTGCAACAGTGACTACATCGGTTATAGTATTTTCCCTTTTGGGTCATATAAAACAAAGCCAAATAGATTTGAAGATATGCGTCAATGTCAAAAATGGTATAAAGTTTTTGTAGGTTTGACTAAAGAAGATAGGAAACAAGACAAATGTCCTTACTAAATTTAAACTGTAAAAAATACATTCTTGATGTTTTTTTCAAATTTCTGTTAATGTTAAGAGTGTACACAGTCAATCAAAGACAGTAGCGACTTGAAGTGGTATTTTAGTTGTGTACATATATACCACTTACGAATATATATTTTGTTAATATATATAATAATGTTTTACAATCTTTTAGTTTTACAATTTCGGCAGCCAATTGACAACTCTAGTTTTTGTATTCTAATTCTATATAAAAATTGTTTTCTTCTTTATAATAATTATATGACATCTTAAATTTAAATCTTAAAGTATACTGGCCAGTATAATTGTTTATCAAAAAGGTTATTTAAATTTTATATAAAATTGGTTGCTACAGACTAAATTGTTTTAAATAGTCAAAATTGCTACTTAGTTATTGAAAAGCAAATCGCACTTAAGTATATAAGTGAAACGGCTGTACATTTATTTGTAGCTCAAAATGCTCGAAAAGTACAATTGTAATTTTAATGAACAAAATTAATATTTTCAATTTTTATTTTAGTTACATATTTTTATTTTAAATAATAATCTGTCCTGTACATTACATATATCATATATACTGAAAACTCGTAATTATACGGTTTAAATATATTGACTCAAGCCAGGATAATAGCAAAATCATTATTTTAGTAAAGCGAATAACCAAATAGAAATCAATTAGTGGATAACTGAAATTATATTTATGATAAAGATATAAATATTAGAGTGGCATTTCCTAGTTTTTAACTGGATAAAAAATAAGAGCCGTTGCTGCTAATATGCCCCATAAATATGTACACAAAATTTCTCATAGATATGATCATGAAAATTTACATAAAAATATTAACTTATAAGATTATATTTACCTTATGTGCACAATTAGCGACGACCTCTGTATAGTCCTGAAGTCGCAATGCGGACATCTGTGCTGCTTTTCGCCTGTGTGTGTCAGTTTGTGCTTGTGCAGGTAATCCTTTCTTGTGAAAACGCGACCACAATTCTGAAAGATGAAATATTTTTAGATTATGATAACTTGTATGATTAATACTTGTCACTGAGGATTGGCTATTGCTTAAAAAAAATAAATAGTTTCAAGTATCTTATAATTATATTGAAACTAACCGTCCAATAAATGAGACATAATTATAACAAACCCATTTGTACGAGTTCAAAAAATATTAATATTTGAATTTTTACCTTGAATTACAAAACTAATCTGCTCAAAAAATACTCTAAATACTATCATATAAGATTAATCTTATAAATAAATATAAAAAATATAAAAAACAATGTAAGAAAAAAATAATATTGATAGTATTTACTGATAAACTTAAACCAAAAGTTCAAAATGTTTCAAAAAGAGACCTAAACCGAGAATTAAATTTTTAAATACACTGCAGAAGTCTCTGAAAATAATTATGGTCTACATTTCTGAATAATAATTAAATTTTTGATGAGTTATGGTTTAGTTCATGAAAGAAAATGAATGCAACTTAATGTACATAGGAAGTAGTTAAAAATTGTAATAAATCAATATGATTGTACTAATTTGTGTTAAGTACATTGCTTAAACAATTACACATAATTGAGATAGCATTTTTTAGACCAAAAACATTTATTATGTACTTATTATGTATTAAAATGACTATATTATTATGTATTAAAATGAATATATAATTAATTGTGAACTTTTATTGTCTTAATACTGAAATAAATTGTAGTGTAATAATTATATTCTCTTAAAACATATTACTTACCTCACATATATAATTGTTCTCGTTCAAATCATGTTCGGACACATGCCTGGATAGATTGTCGTTTGTATCAAATACTTTGTCACACTTTCTGCACTTGAATAGATCATTTGGAAGTTTTATCGGCACATTCCCTCTGTGGTCTCTCATATGTGTCTCGTACAAGCCTCTTCTTGGGAGATATCGGTTACAAATGCCACATCTATACCCATTTTTAAGATTTTTACATATTTTCAGCTCATGACCAAGTCTTGTTTTTCGGTTTTTGAACCGCTTTTCACAACCAAAACATTTGTATAGCCCACTTTCGATGCCATGCTCTTGAGAACTGTGTTCACTGAATTTTTCTAAAGTTTTAAAATCTATTCTACAGATATTGCAATATGTAGGCGTTCGCTTCGGCTTGTAGCGCCAAGATTTTTTAACTTCTTTTTTTTCATTATCACTGTCAGACTGTAAACAATCAAAGATATCTGTTATAGTGCTTTGTATTCCGACTTTTTTAACATTTTCGATTATATCGATTTGATTCTCGAAAATTTCCCTCAACCTCCTATCTGTTTCTTGGCAAAATTTTCTAAAGTCATGAAATTTGTTAATTTGATCTAAACAACTATCGCAAGCTTTGTTAGGATGATCGTATTTTGTTAAATCTATATCCAAACATTCTGTTATTTTTTGAAAATAATCCTCATTTGCAGGGGACATATTCGGAGATATTCCTATAACTTTTGTAAAGGCGTTCCTACTCCAGCAAAGTCTGCAGACGTCGTCTTGTTGAAAGTAACTAAAATTATATGAATCTGAATGTAACAGATCTACTGACATGGTCAACTTTACTAAAACTTTTAACTTTACACTATTCTGTGTTAAGTTTAAATATAAATTATAAACTAACTTCACAAAACAAACACTATGCACGACTGACGTTTGGGTCCTGACTCCTAACTTCTGAGTTCTGACAGCATAGGAAGCCGGAAGGTATATATTCTATAAAATATGTAGGTAAGCAATAATAACTAATGCGTAAAGAAATATTAAACCCCAAAATATAAAACTTTTGTAGTTCCGTTAACAATATACTAAGATGTTTAAATGATCATATATATGTTTTTTTATTGTTATCGGTGCTGTTAAAATAAAACTAGTCTTCTTTAAAAAAATAGTAATAAAAATTAAATATAAAACGCCTTTATTCCATTGATTCCTAGTAATCAAGATCATAATTCCTCCGACAAATAAAAACGTTGACTTTGACAAAATATACCTATTACGATAAGCGAATGAAGCATTATAAAAATAATGTATAATAATATTATTCTAAAGTAATAACTAAGCAAAAGTAAAATGTTAAAAGTGTTACTAACTCTTGAATAGGATTTTTGCTCTAAGTGGGTACTTATTATTCGCTAGAAAGGATTATTGAATCATATTATAAAAACGATACCTTTTAGAATTCCATGTATTCATTGTGCGGGTGCCGGGTCTATGACGTTGCAGGGAGAGGACCCTCAACAGTGGCTGGAACCCTGGTGTTGTTTTAAGGCGCCCAATCTAACGCGCGTTAAATGCTCACCTCCACTGTCCAAGCTCCTCTCTGTACCTAACCAAAATTTAAAGGAATCTATAAGTGCTGCCTTTGAAGTATATTCTAAGAATGTCTTGATGTTAGCTTTGGACAAGCCTAAGTCTTTTAGTAGATTGTGAGAGATTTTGCCGTTATAATTTGGCTTTTTATAATTTTTTGTACAAATGAAATGACGCGTATTTATTATATCTGTAATTGTTTTCATCTGTACGTCAAACGTCGTCAAAAAGATCGTTAAAAACTTTTTGTAATGAAATTTATTTTATAATAAAAAATAATATGTATTCCTACATATTTTAATCGTTTAATATTTTGCTAATTTCAAAGTTTTTATTCATTGGGCGAATTATAATCTTGAGTACTGTGTGGAAGAAACACGAATGGTTTAATAATAGTTTAGGTTTTGGTCTCAAACACTTAACCGAAAGACGTCATTTCTAAATTCTAGCGTAAAGTCAAATATGAAAGCATTATTATCGACAATATTTGAGTTCCAAAAAAAATGATTTTGAAATACTTAATGATTTATTAAAAATACAACTTACCTGTGAGAGCGAGGGGATCTTCGTGGAACCGAGACCAAAACCCTAGTTTCTTAAAAGGCTTTCGATGCTGGGCGTTCAGTAGGTACCGATGACGATGGAAGGGATTCCATTTTGAAGCAAAGATAGTCTTTACTCCAAATGATACTTATTAATTGCTAACAAAGTCTAACGATGAATGTCACGAATTGTATAGCAGATTCCACCACAGTGGCTCCTAAGATCGACTAATATAGAATGAATTCAGGTCAATTATGCTTGGACTTTTATACTGTAAATTTTGTATTACAATTGTGGGCACTTGAAAAAAAATAATCACCTGATGTATTCCTAAGATTATTATTTATTTCGAGGAAGTGGGTACTTACACACGACTTTCTAAGAGAGTATAGTTTGAATAAATAATTAAATTTTTTTAAATTAAGTTTTTTTGTATAATATTGGTTTTATTATTTTATGACTACATAATATTAACGTTTCGGTTCCTTTGCAGCACTATGATCACAAAGACGAGATGAAAGTGAAAATGAAATAATAAAATTTCTGGGTATTAACAAAAATTTACGTCACTAGGCTACCACTGACTTGACTAACTGATTGAAGTCACTGGCCTAGTGTTTATAGGTCCGCCTCTCATGCACGAGGGCGCGAGTTCGATCCTGGCAAGTACCAATACCATTTTTCAGAGTCATATGTACTTTCTAAGAGTATTTAGACATCGCTGACAGATGAAACATTGTGAGGAAACTTGTACTTATAATATCACAATTATAAGTTTGAAATCACCAACCCGTCTTGAGCAAGTGTGGTGATTAATGCTCAAACCTTTTCCATGTGAGAAGCCTTACAGAAGTAGGCTATGATAGGCTGATGATGATGAAAAATTAATGTATTGTGGTAAATTAATATAGTCACATATCTGATGTTAAATAAAATACTTTTCCAATTGAAGTTAATTTAAGAAATTTTTTAATATATTGAAATAATTTTAAGGCATAATACACAAGTAAAACAAATTTGTTTTCGAGTTTTTCTTTTTAATTTGGACATACCAGTTATTTTACCTAAATTATATTATTACATATTTTTCAGTTTCAACATATAGTTACAATTTAGAAATATGAATATACAGATGTTTTAAAATACATGCTTATTTGGTTATTTTTTTTATCAAAAATTGTAAAAATCTACATGTTACAGTAAACTTAAAATTAAATTTTATTTTTTAACAAGTGTCTAGTCTTATTTTGATAGGATGTTATATAAAATATGTTCAACAACTGCTTATTATAGATTTTTCAATATGAATACTTCTTTGTGGAACAACAAAATTTTATCTTTTTATTAATGTATTACATATAAGTATATATATAAGATATTTCTTACATTATTCGGCAATAAAACTATAGTTACATTGATTATTCTTAAAAAGCTAGTTTCTTCATTAACAAGTACATGTGTTGGTCTACTTCAAACCCATGTAAATTGTTAGCATCCCCTTGTAACCTCATGAGGAGTCCGCCAAATGAAACAAAAGCTGACAATCGGGAAGTCGGTTCCATGGCTAATTCATCACCGTCTAATCTGGAAAACATATAAGATAATCAATATTAAGAACAAATATATTTTCACATTTAGTAATTAAAAGTGTTTAATCCCTACTAATATTATATATTCAAAAGTAACTCTGTCTGTCTGTTACGCTTTCATGACTAAACCACTGAACTGATTTTAATGAAATTTGGTACAGACATAGAGTTGACCTTGAGAAAGAAGCAAAAGAAGGGTAAAGCTAGTTTGCTAATAATTGTGAAAAAATTAAGTCATTAATATAGAAAATATTTTAGCTTAAACTTTCTTCTGATAATCTGCTTCCAATGTAGATATGCAGAGTTAACTAATAGTAGTTACTTGGATTTGCACTATCCCCAAGGATTTATATATGTGTCAGTGTATTTACAGAATATTAAATACTATATAAAAAGAGATTATCCCTGAGTGAAAATGGTAAATTAATTAGATTTAAGATATAAATTACCACTTATATTTCCATCATTTGTATTGGTGTTAAAATATAAAACATTTGTTTATGGTGATGAGTTATTATTTTTAAATAATGAATCCAAAAAAGTTTGAATGATTGCGGTGAACATAATATTCTGTTGACTCAGATCATTCATTCACAGAGATGATCTCGACAATAATGAAAAATCAAGACAAGGTTTTATGTTTCATAGACCAGTTATATGGGGTGGGTTTAGTAAAATAACATTATTTGATGGGACTGGAAGTTGCTGTACGCAACTCGCAGAGTTTTTTTTTCAGGTGAGGGAAGAAGAAAATGAGAAGGGGAATCTACTTGTCAAATGATCATAATTATTATAATATATTATTCTCAATCTTACTAACCTATAAACTTTTCCGTACATAACATATTCAAAACTGTCTGCCCTATTTCCCTCCGTTTCGAGGGGATTCCATTCCCCGCCGTCCGGATATCCGTTTTCTCGTAACGTCGTCGCCAAAACCAATCTGAACTTATCTCCCAGCTCCATAGGATATATCCAAGAATTTATATCCAAAATAAGATCCATTTTAAACGATTCTGATTCACAATGCAATCGACTCACACGATCGAATTTCTTACCGCCCTGGTCCATGTCTTTTACATTGAATATATCTTCAAATAACACTCCCGCCATTTCGGTAGTGTGTTTTATAATGAGACAACTTTATAATGTGTTATTTACTTAAGAAATAAATAAAACACGATCTAACCCACGCTGATATTAAACACAAGTTAATACGTCAAAACTCATCGTTTTTAGGAACTTCTGACTTTGACAGATTTTATATCAAATAATTTATTACAAAATATTTTAATATGTTGTGGTAAATAAAGGGACTTGTAATGTATGTGTTTAAAATATTAATCTCTTAACGTTTTAGAGCACTCGATGTGTTTTTTAAATTTTATAAAATGCAAAGTTAACAAGATAAAATAAATAGAGTGACTCTGAAGATGTACTTATTTATATAAGTACATATAACATTAATTTTATTTATTCAATTTTATGTTTTGTTTAGTTTTAATATCAAACATATCTATGATTTTGGTTTATATTTATTCATAAACAATAATATGTATGGTTATTAGTTATATGACGGCACATACAACTGTGAACTGTCATTGGAAGCATCGCCGAAATAAAAAGCTAACCTCTTGCGTTGCACGTGTTAGTTAATAACATTAATACCAACACGGTTCTTTGTCGTCTTGTTGATAAATTATCAATGAACTAAAACAAATCATCAAGCATTTGATTTAGAAAACTATAAACATGACGGAAGTAATGCAATCCGGCTCGGAGGTGTTCTCGGAGAAGAAGAAAAAGAAAAATAAGGAAACAGTGAGCTTGGGTGCGTTCCAAAAAATTGGTGACTTTAAAATTGAGCCTTCGGAAAGTGTGACCAAGTTGGACACGGCGTATTGGCCTCTGTTATTGAAGAACTTCGATCGTCTTAACGTGCGTACTAACCACTACACGCCGCTTCCATTCGGTAGTTCACCTTTAAAACGACCGATCGCGGAGTACGTGAAGGCTGGATTCATCAACGTGGACAAACCCAGCAATCCGAGCTCCCACGAAGTCGTGTCATGGATTAAAAGAATCCTCAAAGTAGAGAAGACTGGCCATTCCGGAACTCTGGATCCTAAGGTTACTGGCTGCCTCATCGTGTGCATAGATAGAGCAACAAGGCTGGTGAAGTCCCAGCAGAACGCTGGTAAGGAATATGTGGCGGTTTTCAACTTGCATTCGCCCGTAGAAAGCCTAAAGAAAGTTACTCAAGGTTTGGAGAAATTACGTGGTGCTCTCTTCCAACGTCCGCCATTGATTTCAGCAGTTAAACGACAACTTCGTGTGCGTTCTGTGTATGACAGCAAGTTACTAGATTATGACCAGGAACGAAACATCGGTGTTTTCTGGGTTAGTTGCGAGGCTGGTTCTTATATACGTACGATGTGCGTACATTTGGGTCTGATGTTAGGAGTTGGAGGACAAATGATTGAGTTACGAAGAGTCCGATCTGGTATACAGGGAGAGAAGGAAGGCATGGTGACCATGCACGATATATTGGACGCACAATGGGCGTATGAGAATCATAAGGATGAAACATATTTGAGACGAGTTATTAAGCCGCTGGAAGGTCTGCTTGTAGCTCACAAACGGATATTTATCAAGGACAGTGCGGTTAACGCAGTATGTTATGGAGCCAAAGTACTCTTGCCCGGTATCTTAAGATATGAGGATGGTATTGAAGTTGACCAGGAAATTGTTATAGTCACGACAAAGGGAGAGGCTGTAGCTTTGGCTATAGCCCTAATGACCACATCTACTATGGCATCTTGTGATCACGGGGTAGCAGCTAAACTGAAACGAGTTATCATGGAAAGAGACACATACCCTCGCAAATGGGGCTTAGGTCCGAAAGCATCTCAAAAGAAAATGCTCATCCAGCAAGGTAAACTAGATAAATTCGGCAAACCCAACGAAAACACACCATCCGAATGGCTAAATAGCTATGTCGACTACAAAGCTAAGAAAGACACTGAAAACGGTGACGCACAAGAAGATGCCGGCAGAAAGAGAACGGCCAGCACAGCAAATGCAGACGACCCAAATAACTCGACAGAAATTAAGTCAGAAAAGAAAAAGAAGAAGAAAAAACGGGACACTGACGTTGAAATGGAAAATGAAGCTGACACAACGGTAGACGCAGACCAGACAATAGAAGATGACTCGGTACGCAAAGAAAAGAAAAAAAAGAAAAAGAAGGATAAAGATCAGGAAAGACAGGACGAGTAAAATATATAACACTTATATACCTTGTATATATATCTCCATATGGAATTCCTGATGTAACATGGATTTTATAGTGTATAAACCATTTCTTTTCTACCGAATAATTAATAAAGCTTCGGTTACATACATATAAGTTTAAGTGATAGTTCTTAAGAGAAAATATTATTTTTACTTAATAAAAACACAATTACGGGTTGCAACCCTGCATTTGTTATAGCCCATTGATCATGATTTGTCCTACTTAGCTCGAAGACATCGCTAGACCCAATAGTTTTGTATGTTAAGTGATTGTTCAACGTTTTTAAAAAGGGACATTAAATTACTTTTAAGTTTAATTGCTTTTTATTTTTTTACCCTATAATAGTTTGTTTTGATAAAATTTTGTTTATAATGAGAAAGACCAGCATTTTGGATTTAACAATACTTTTAAAACATCTTATGTGATACTTAGATATGAAAATTCTTAAAAATTTTAAATTACTTTAGTACTAATTAAAATTACTTATTCGTTAATTGTAAGACATAAATTTTTGCAAATATTTAGAACAAAAAGTGCAGTTGAAAATTATTTTATTTCATTTAATTTTGTAATATATTTTAATTTTAAAAACAATGCAATATTTTAAGTCATAAGAACTATGAATCTATGTCTCTATAAGTACTAAAAGAATTTTTTTTAGTAGATCAAAACTTTGAATGCTTTTGTTTAACCATTTTTTTAACTTTTAATTAAAATTGATAGTTTAATGCTTTGTCTTCAAATGTCACATATTGGAATTAATTTTGTTTAACTCTACACTCTTCTGTTCTCTCACCTCAAGTTTTCATCATTAAATAACGGTAATTTCCAGTTTATCGCGTATAAAAACGACATTATTCTTATATGTATGTCATATTATGTATTGTGTGTGAAGATTCATGAATTAAAAACTGTTCTTTACTTAATTTGTCTATACAAAAATAATGATGAAATCATATTTTAATGTTCCTTTTATTGATATAGATTTAAATAAAAATATAATAAAATTAAATACAGCACCACCTATCGTTGAGTAGATAAAACTAGTCAGTATCTAATTACACTAATATATTGAAGTTTGTTACCAGCATCACTAGATGGCTCTCATGTCGTGTTTTAGTACGTATTATTAAAATATTATATATTATGTAGTAGATAAAGATTCCATACATTATTTATTTTCAGATGGACAAAACACATAACATTTAAGTATTAGTATCTACAGTAAACGCATATTTATCTTCTAGCTTATACCGTCGGCCAAATGTCAGACCGTACCAGTTGTTACGGATATGTGAAAAATGTACCTAATTATATTTACTTTAGGTACTGCACACACTAATCTATTATACCTGTTTTTCCGTCAGCAAAAATAAGTAAGGTATGGGAACCATGGGATTTTGGACTATAAAAAAGGTATGTAATTATTATTTGATTCAATTTATTTAAATAATAAAAATTAAAGTAATTATTGGTAAAGTGACTAATAATTCTCATCCAGTTGATTATAAAATCTTTAAAATTTTAAATAAAAAAAATTCAAGGGGACCACAATTTTAATATCTTTATGTCAGTATAACTTGGTAATGACTCATATTATATGATTTCATACATAACTTAATATATTAAAACTAAATACAATTCAAGATAGAAATGTCAAGCTATTTTCAACTTTTAAACGTCAATTTTCTATAAATGTTAGTCAAAATAATAACGTCGTGTACTTTAAATAATTAGATCACCTCCACACTCGTATTAACAACGGTGTGAATCAAATACACTATAAAATCCTCTAGCCGTCATTAAATATAAATTTCCTTGTATTTTACGAAAAATAATAGGCCACGCGAGCGCCGCGGGCGACAAATAAGCGACTCATTACTTCCCAAATGTGTATTGAATCGTCGAACAGACTCCCCGTCTTGAAACAAAGCCAATTTGATCCATTACTACGCCACGTGCCGCTGCACGACAGACATACGTTGACGTTTTTTACTCTTGATTTCCTCCTGTTATTATTGTTTTATTTAAAATTTCATGCTGCATTTATTATTGAATAGATGTTTTGAGCTTTTTAAGTTTTATTGAAATTAATAAAGAATAATAGTAAGTAATTAATAATTATTAGTTCCTATGATGTTGTTTTAAACTTAACTTTTAATATTAATTAGGATGTTACTATGTAACTCAACTTTCATATTCGTCTATACTCTGGAAGATCTCCTAAAAATTACTCTTTTATTTTATATACAGAAAATTGACATTAAATGCTAAATATATTAAAACAATTTAAAGAGCATTTTCAATACGATATCGAGTGTCATTTCATTAAAAGGAACATGATTATTTTATTCAAAAATGGTGCTGCAAGTAAGAAACTTATACTTATTTGTTTCTTACCCATCGGAAAATAGAGATTTCAACAAATAGAAAACATACAAATTTTAGAAAAAAGCTGATGTTTTCACTGGTGATTTTTCGATATTAATTCAAAATAAGCGGAAAAATAAATATTTTCAATCAAATAAATTAAAGTATATTTTGGTCATTAAAAGGTACTTAAGTGTTCAATAAATATCGTGACAAAATATTATTTTTTGTAAATGATAAAAATAAAAAACCAAAAACTTGGTTTTTTGAATTTTTCACATAAATTTTGGGGTTATGAGAAAAAAGTGTAAGTATACAAGATTTTTAGATCTTTTTATTACCTACAACTTTGCTGTATAACATTTTTCATTAAGACTTTTAGTTTTGCCGGAAATCGAGAAAACCCACTTTTCACCCTTAAATACCCATCCCCATACCCTTCCCGACCTCAGATCGCCCGTTTATTATTTTTCCTGTTATTTTTATAATGTTCCCCTACTTTTCTGATGGGTTTCATCCTACTAGGTACCTACTTACCTATTAACGTGGTATTGAATGACAAACGGGGAACTATTAGTAGGTATGTATATTTATGCTTAGGTAAGTAGTACAAGTAAGCATATTGTACTGAACATCAAGAAATAAATTCGTTTTGTCACTAAAATATAATTTATTTATTATTATTATTCTTTTTTTATAGGAAAGGGGGTCAACTGAGCAGACGGCCTATTTGATAGAGGTAGTTATCGTCGCCCATGGACATCTGCAACGTAGATTTGCGGATGTGTTGATTGGGGAAAAGGAGGAGGAAAAGGTGGGAAAGGGAGGGAAAGGAAAGGGTGGGAAAAGGGAAAGAGCAACCGGCTCTCTCACTCACCGAACGAAACGCAGCCATTAAAGACTACTTCACGCCGATTTTCTGTGATACTTCTCCGGTCGAGCCAGCCAATGTTGAAGCTGTAGTAATTGACCACAGCTAGGCTATACCACCTGAAATATTATAATATTAATTATATATTAAAATAATAATAAAGAAAAATCGTTGCAACTGTCAAAATAAGTGAAATTGACATTTGACAGGAATATTGACAAATGTCAAATCTTAAGTCACAGGGCTTCTGAATAAGCCTTACTATTATTATACGATCACGGGATGGTTTACGGCAATACTGTCAGTATTTCGTTTGGCGATAACTGATAGTAAGGATACAATTAAAATATAAATATTGTAATATGAATGAAACTATTTGTATTAGTTTCAAAATTGACAAACAATTGACGAGAGGTCGGGAGTATGTAGTTTATAAAAATAATAAAATGAGCATAGCAATCCGAAAATATTAGGTTCATTAAAATGAATTCTCGCAAGTCTTAGATCTAATTAATTATTAATGTGATTCCCATGTCAAATAAAACTTTCACGTGACGATAGATGATTTTATAGGATAAAATATGAGTAATATTTAAAAAAAATTAAATCAATCTAAATACTATTACTAAACAGAATAAAATCAATTTAAATATTTTTAATATACAGAAAAAATATTTTGACGTCATTTAATTTTTTTGAATTATTAATCGACTTGTAAATTAGGTTAGTTAAAATTTACTTCAGTATTATTGAAAATTGTATTTTAATTCCTAAAATATAGAGTCGTTTTTTCTTTAAAACTACATGTGACTAACAAAAGCGAAACTTATTTAAGGCTTTCAATACACGGCCTACCTGTTAGGGTCGTTACTTAACTTTTATAACATACATAAATATAAAATAGACGAATCCTGGTTAAATAATATGTATAGGTACATAGGTATATGGCAGAAGAATTTAGTTAATTTTTTAATTATTTTCAAAGATAAATCTAGTAAAACTGTAACATTCTTTAATAATAACAATAATTTAATTTATTAACCTTACCTATACTGATTTTGTATATTTATACTTACAATGAGACGTTACATTTGACAACCCTACAACAAGAGAACGGAAATTGGTTTAATTTGTAACAAAATGGCGCACGATAACGACCTGCTAGTAATTATTATGTCTCAGACTACCGGCACGAGTGCTTCTTAACCTTGCTTCATTTACATTTAAAACATTTTATCGTTTAATTAAAAGACGAGCAGACAAATAGATCAACGTTTTTTTAAAATATAAATTGAAATAAAAAAAAATCAAAAAAGGAGGTCGTCTATGTTTCTATTGTGTCAACGAATAAGACATTACAAAAAAAAATTTAAAAAATATATCGTAGCGTTCCAAATAATTTGAATTATAAATTCGAATCAGCGCCGCCGATTGGTCCGCGGCCGACCAATCAGAGGCGAGCGTCCTCCGGAGGCGGGAAGAGGCAAACGTCAGATGCAAATGACGTTTTTATTTTTTATAAAACCCGTCCGTTTAGTTTATGGGCGAACTGTGATTTTGTACGAGTTACGATGCCTTTAATGGTCGCTTAAAACGCTGTTATGTTTAGATAATCTTTATTTATAATAAAAGCTAAGTAGGCATTACATTTATAGTGTATATGCTTCGCGTGTACAGTGAAAGCCAGTTACAAAATAAATAAGCATTAGCAGAGCTTTTAAACACTTTTATTGAATTTAAAAT